CTGGAGAACGCCTCCCGCGCCACGCTCTGCAGGAGCACAATGCCAGATGGCCGGGGTGGTCAGATTCGATGCGGCCTCTAGTTCATTTTTGCCGATGAACATTCGCAGAACAGAACCTCGCCGAGGCTCGGCACAGGTCACAGACGCTTGCCCATAGACCCCAGTTAACCCACTCACTCAAGATAATGCGATCCGCGCCCCCCCCCAACAAATTGACCGAGTCTCGCGCAGGCTTCACATCGGCCCGCCGACGCAATCCGCGATCTCCCCCTTGGCCATGAAAACGACCAGGCCCCGGTTGACAGCAACGTCGCCCGCCGCTCCTGCGCGGAGCCCTTGAAAAGCATGAAGAAGCATTCCTCGTCCACCCATATCACTTAGTTCAGCAGTTGAAGCGAGACCGTCGGGCACAGAAGCCGAGTCGCGAAAACGTTGGGGCCCCGAGACAGACTGGTCGCAACTGGCTTCCCCAAGTAACCCTTGCGGAAGCAGTCTGGACACGCCTCGCGCATGGCTCTTGAAGAGCAGGATCCCGGGGACGATCAGAAGGCCCCCCCCCCCAACGCTCACTCAAACAACTCGGCGCCGCCATCGAGTGCGGCGGCAACGGCGCCACCCGGGGCCCCCGCTCCAGCCAACGCTGCGCGTCGGGCCGCGTTCGCCGCACGTGGAAATGCCGCTGCAGCAAGTGCACTATTCCTCTTGAGATCCCCCGAAAACTGAGGGTCAGCAAACAGCTCCGCGACGCTGGGAACCCAACGACGCAAGACCGACAGGAAAGCGCAATCCTTCCAAACCAAGCCAACAGAGCAATCCTTCCAACCTTCGCGAAGCCCCAGAATGGCGCGAAGCCCCGACGCGTCTGCCCCGGGTCAGCGCTCTCAGCGCGGCGGAGCACCAAGACCATCCCCCCTAGAACGCAATGAGGCGGTCGACTGCAACAACTGCCTTCGCCAACCTAGCAGCCTCGCGAAATGCCCCCTAAAGGGCGCGAAGCTTCTGGAAGTCGCCCCGGAACTCAGGCGACCCTCGCCCGCAGATCTGGGGCGCGGCCCGCGAGCTACTCTCTTAGCCGCAAAGCCTAGGATCCTCGGAGCAACGGGCTTGAATCCAGGATTGGCCCGCGCGCGCAAGGGGGGCGACCGCATGGCCTCGCCAGGCCCGCGACGGGCCAGGCGGCGCCAGCTGCGGGCTTGCAATCCAAGAGCCGGCCAAAGACTGGAGAAGCGCGGGTTTGGCCTGAACGACTCGCTGAGATTACCTGGCTGCTCCGCTGAACACGAAATTCAAGCCGGATCTGGGCTGGATCGCCCAGGAAAGGGAAGCGGCCGTTGACGCGTTGCTCCGCTGTGTCCGCGCGGCTGGACGCCGCCTCAAATTTCAGAAGCAGCCGAGCTTACAGTGCCCAGGCAGCCGGTGCCCCAACGCCCAACCGGCGAATCTAGGCGGGCCGCATCTGATGAGGCCCCCCTGCCAGATTGACCTTTATGTCTGGTCTCGACAGACTAAGAATACGGTGCACGTTAGATGCACTCACGCATCCAATCCGCCCCTCAACAGAGCACGCGCAGCGGCGCCCGGCAGACGCAGCCAGCGCGCGGCGTGAAGCCCATGCCAGATGATGAATCACTGCAGGGCTCGCCAATCCGCTCGGCGAGGTCGTTGATGGACCTCGAAAAGGCCTACGAGCACGCGTCCTGGCATGTCATGCGGTACATCGAGATGCCGCGGCAGGTTCCGACGAGTGCCCTGGCGCTGTCCGTGAAGTCTTTCGCCTTCCCGAGAGCGGTGCGAAGCCCCGCGCGCGCGCTCGCGGGCCTGCACGCTGGGCCCAAGGTCGCCAATCGATTTCGCAAGGCGCCGCATCGGACCCCCGACCCGGCGCGGGCATGGCCGAGGGCGGAGATGAACATCGGCGCGTGCGTCGATGGCATTGAAACCCGCGTTGTCGGCACCAGCGAGCAGCCGAACGAAGCGCCACCGGAAGTCGTCGCCACGGCCGCCTGCCTCTCGGAGCACGCCTCGGCGACGAAGCTGCCCCGGGCCAGCGAACTCGAGCCAGGCGCGAAGAAGATCGGCGGCAAATTCTCGGAGAATGAAAGATGGCAGGGCGCGGAGTACCAGCCACAAAAGGCAGGGGCATCGCCCGCGACAAGAGGACATGCGCCACCAGAAGGAGATGGCCGATGGCTGCTGCGTCGATGCGACGTGGAGCCCGAATGTGTTGCCAGTCACGCAGCTGGGCCATCGCACGCGGCGCTTCCTGTATAGGGCCCTCGGCTACGACCGTGTCCATCGAAAAGCAGAAAAGCCGAGCTGCGCGCCATGCAACGGGAAAAACAACCCATCTCGAGCCCCCATCGTCGCCCTGCGCGCGCCAGCACTGCCGGGGGAGAGGGGGCGGCCGCGCAGCCCCTTCGAAAACCAATGCTCGTGGGGAGAAAACGGCCGCGCAGTGTAGACTCCACCGAAGAAGTCCATGGGGGCGGCGCAGAGGCTTCAGCAACCCCTGCATACGCGGGAAGGTGGACACCGGACTCATATATGCCTTGACCACCATACAGGTGCAACGACGAACACACAAATCGAGACGTCCTGGAAAACCGGCCATGCCAGGCATGATTCGATTAAGCCCAGCGCATTGACGACCCTGGTTCCCATGAAGACAGGCTCGACAGAAGATCTCCACCCCGCCGCGAGTGCCAAACGCTTCCCCAGGAGACGCTAGGCTCCATAGGAACCGCCACCCTCGACTCAAAGACCAGTGGCCCGCTTGTCTGGTGCGTTCACTACGCGCTGGGTGGTGCTCCAGCATGAGAATTGCACAGCCTGTCGCAGCAATTCACGAATGTCTGCCCGACCCCCGCCCCGGGACACTGGCCTAGTCAGCCGCTCTCGCCAATGAACCCCGAGGCCCTTCGAACTGCAACTCGGGAACGGCCAAGACGGGGGTGTCCAAGAGGGGGGGGTGCAAATCATGACCGGCGGCACGTGCGCGGCCCAGCGGGGGGGCCAGGGACGTAATGAAATAAGAAGAGGCGCCATAAAATCTGGGGAAATATGATGGCCCCCGCCATGATATCCACCACCACCCCCCAGTCATCACCCCCCTCTTTTCCGCCCCCGAACTGAAGGACAGGGGACGGACAGGACGGAGGCCGCCGGAAAGCTCCACAAGGGGCTTCCAAGCCCGAAAAGCCCAAGCCTTGACCCAGTTCAAGCGCTGCCAGAACTTGGCGACCCCCTTGGGAGAGCGAAGCACACGGGCCACACTCCGTGGAAGAGTTGTCCCTCGCACATGCTGGAGCCCTCGGCGACTCCAACGGGAGGGGACATGAGCGGCAGACGCTGCAATCGACTCGACTGCGGTACGGAGCTGGGCCTTCGCTTCGAGAGCCTCAGCCCCAGCAGCAGCAGATGCCGAAGCAGCACCAGCAGCGTCTGCGGCAACTGCTGCTCTGGCCCCGTCGACCGAAGCCGCGGCGCCACCACTCCCGCTGCCGCTGCCTCCACACTCTCACCCTGAAGGCTGCTGTGCTGGTTCTGGAACTGGAGCTCAGCCTTCAACTGTGCTGCGCTTCTTCTTCTTCTTCTTATTCTTCTTCTTCTTCTTCTTCTTCTTCTTCTTCTTCTTCTTCTTCGTGAGGCGAGCAAGCAATGATCGTTGTCCTAGCGAGCCTGGCGTGCCTTGGCTGCCGCCTCACCGAGTTAGGGAAAGACCGCACTCTTAAGCTCCGTCTGGAGCTTGAACAAACTCCACTGCGTGGTCGTACCCGTGATCCTCCGACCAAGCGCGCCCAGGGACCGCAACGAGATGGGGATCAGGACGACACGGCCGTCGAGGGGATCTTCTATAGACAGCCCTGGCACAGCCTTGACGTCGTTAGGTGTGGGGCCTGGCTGGGGAGCCACCTTCTCGTGGAGGTCCTGCACAAGCTTGGTGTTCGGCCTCCGCCTGGGCAAGATCCTCAAACACTGAAGATACCCACTCACGTTGTCGGCACATTTGCTCCTCCTGTCGAGTGTGGCCGTATGCTATCTCTTCAAGCTTTCCCTCAAGGGCGCGCACACGCTGGAAGACATCGTTCGTGTGTCGTTGGGGCTGGGGGGCGGGAACGCAGCAGCCTGGCGGAATGAGACAATCTCCTTGTAGGCAGCAGCGCTTGCCGTGCCGCCAACCTTTTCAAATAGTAGTTGGATGGCGGACTGCAGGTCAGAGACTGTTGCTTCAGCAACAACCACTGGCAAGGCGCCCACGGGGCCCTACGGGCCCACGAACTGAGGTCCAGGCAAACGAAGTAGGCGACCACCAGGCACCACATCCGCATACGTCGTGCACGTTCCGTCGTGGACCGTCGTCAGCTGGTTCCGCCACCAAATCGCTCTGCTGCACCAGCAGCCCCAGGAGCTTGAATGACTGGCGGACGAGTCGGAGTGCTGCCTCGGCTCTTTACAATGCTTTCACCAAGACCGCAATGATTCATTGCGCTTGCACCCGCACGCGATGCAAGCCCAGATCTTACCGTGGCCGCCGTGGCGGTCCGCCGCAAGAAGGCCCATGATGAGAGAAGGGATACTTCCCCGCGTTGGCCTCTTCTGAGGGAGATCCTCAACCGAGCGCAACGGAATGCTGGTACAGCCCAGGGAACAATCTGGCAACTCGAGCCAGGAAGGCAGGTGAGGAGAGGAGGCGGCAGGAGGGAGGAGGGAGGAGGAGGGAGGAGAGGGAGGAGAACGAGGAGCATGACAAGGGAGGACGGGAAAGCAGAGGCAGCAGCAGCGGCGGGCAAGGACCCGGGAGGATCTGGAGAAACCAAAAGGTACCGATACCGCTACTCCCCCGACCTCTCCCCGGGTGCGTTCTGACCAGAATTTCGAGGCGAATCCAGCGGTGGCGACAAGGGCCTCCCAGGAGGCCCAAGAAGGGGAAAACGGGCGAGTAGAGGTATGGGTACCTCTTCCTCCTCAAAGGCTCCTCGAAGCTTTGTTGTGCAGCGGGACGCCTCGGTGCCGACCGTACGCTGCCGCGGCCACGGCCCGCCCGGGGCAGGCCGCGGCTCTCGCACGCAGCGCACAGCGCTCGGCGCCGCGAGCACGGCGCGAGGCCCGAAGGCAGCTGGCATTATCGCAACAAGCAGCGGCGCGGCTGCGCGCGGGCACGCGCGGCTGCGCGCGGGCCCCCCTCCCGGCCACGAGCGGGTGCGCGGCCGTGCGGCCGCGTAGCGGCCACGCGGCCACGCGCGGCCGCGAGAGGAGCGCACCCCGACGGCCACGCGCGGGTGCCCTTCCGAATTCCTGCGCCGCGGGGTGCGCTGTGACAACCGGCGGTCCGCCACGGCGACTGTACACTGGAGGGGGAGGGGGTGGAGGAGCATGCAGCAATGAGTGGAGAGCTCGGAAGGCGGAGTCGGAGCAGGGCGAGCTGAGACAACGGCTGCTCAAGATCGGTCTCTGTAGACGAGCGCGCTCCACTACTCGCAAAGGAACTACGCGCAAATGGCCTGGATCCGCCGTGGGGGATCTACGCTAAATCACGTCGAGGAAGAAAGGATGCGTGTCGGACGCCTGCGAGTATGCACCCTGCGAGTAGCGGAACGCGCTCGCCGACTCTGGATCCCTCCCAGGGTGGGCCCAAACACACCAGCGTTCCGAGCTGCGTCCAGCCACCAAGAGGCGGCTGGCCACGCGGGCTGCTGCCGCCGAGGCGGGGCCGGCTCACACGTGCTGCGGCTGGGGCGGAGGCGTAGGCTTCCAAAGGCACCCGTCGGCCGGCAGCTTCACCCTCGCAGACTCGACGTCCACCTCGAAGCCGCCAGCCTCGCGCGGCAAGCGGAAGGAGGGCGGTGAGGAGAAGTCGAAATCCTGCCGGATGGGCGACGATCGCAAGCGGGCCTTGCGCGAGATGGCATAGCGACCTCACGCGGTGACTGACGCTGGCCCCCAGCGTGGCACGCTGCACTGGAAACGAGGGCGCTTACGCGCGATTCACGCGGGCAGCGTACGCGCGAATGTCGGCGCAGTCGACCCCTTGGTTCTGCGTCGCTCGCATGGTGCATTCCAGCAATCCCGAATCCAAAAAGGCGCTATCCCTTGACGACACATTTTTCCTGCCGCCGGGCTCCGCTGGGCTCCGCCGGCCTTCCGCCAAGGCAGCAGTGTCAACGCCTTCGATATCTCGAAGGCGACGCCCTTTCTAGAGCGCCCCATGTGAGCCCTGGTCCTACCAAGAGGGCTCGTGGTGGCTCACTCCCCCTTCGCATCGTCTTCCTCGCCGCCATCTGTTCCCCCCCTCCCCTCCTCATCATCACCCTGCCCCAGCGAGCGCGGTCGATGTCTCGTCATCGGCGTCGGCCTCCTCCGAGGGAATCGCGTGCCACGCAACATGTATATCCTAAACGCTCGTAACCCGCCCTCGTCGACTTCGATCGTACCCCCCTTGGGGGTATGTCTTCCTTACCTGCCACGCGTAGTTGGCACAGCCCCTAGAACAAGGGAAGGGAGGAGGGAAGGGACAACGGAGAGAGAGAAGGATGGAGCACGACGGGAATTGGAGGGAGGCGTGTTAAGAACAGACAACAGATTGCAGAATCAGACGGGCGGGTCGGGCGGGGCTGGTCGGTAGGGCCAGACGGCGAGGTCGAGCGGGAGCGTCGCTGAAGCTAGGCCCAGACGGCGGGGTCGAGCGGGAGCTTCGCTGAAGCGTCAGTCCTGCATGAATCGCGAGGAAGTCTCAAGCGATACCGCGATTCCCAAGTAAATCGTCAAAAATCCTAGGCGAGCGCGTGATTCCTGAGTGTTGGGGGCTCCACGTCGGCATAGCGTGTCAAGGAGAGCCACACGAAAGCGCGATTCCTCCAGAAATTGTAAGGACGTCCCGCGCGAGACCGCGATTTTGAATCCGCCAGCCCCCTTGTGGGGCCATCAGGCTGCGCGGATCAGGCTTGCTGCTCCCTGCTCCAATTCCAGTTTCAAGTCTCCCGCATCGTAGTCCTACTTTCTACTTGTTGAAGTCCGCGCGAGGGGGAAAACCCAAAACCGTCCAATGTACCAAGCCTCTGGGTGGTCTCAGAATGTGTTGGAGGGGATGGGACACGCAAAAATACATGACGTTCGCGTCCCCGAGACTGTGAACCCTGGTCAATTACTTGTTTTATTCGCGTGCCCGAGGCAACAAACCCTCGAAAATTACACGAGATGCGCGCCCCCGAGGCCGCAATCATTCGCAATGTACGCGATACTCGCGTTGCCGAAGCAATATGTTTACAACGTGTACACTAGTTGCGTCCCCGACACCATCACCTTTCGTGCATGATCCAATCGCTGCGACCCACGATCCCGTGTAAAATACAAAATGTTCGCGTCCCCGAGACCATGAACAACCGCGTGCTATGCAAAATACGCGTCACCGAGGCCACTGTCCCCCGCGTCCCCGCGGCCACGGCTGTCAAATGTATACCGTAATCGCGTCCCCGAGGCCACGATCCCATCCGTATTAATCACAAACGATTCGCGTCCCCGAAGACACGATCGCTTGCAAAGTATGCAATGCGAGTGTCCTCGAAGACATGTTCCTTCGTAAATTACGCAAGTTTCGCGTCCGCGAGACCACGAGCCTTCGTACATTACTGTTCGCACCCACGAGGCAACGATCCCAAGTAAATTACACGATGCTCGCGTCCTCGAGACTAGAACCCAAATCAGTTATGCAACATTCGTGTCCAAGAGGCCACGATCCCTAGTAAATGACGCACTATTCGCGCCCTCGAAGCCACAATCCTTCTATAACTTACGCTGCATTCGCGTCCCCGAGGCTGCGATCCCTAGTAAAGTACGCGATGCTCGCGTCTCTCAACAAGTTCGCAATGCAAACCGTCAGAATTCGATTGGTGATTTTCAGTTTTGCTGCGCAAGCCGTCACGTACGATATTGGTCCTCGCGTGGAGTCCCGACATTGCTTCACGACGGGCGCAATTTCATCCAAACTTAGCTCTGGCATGCCCCATCCTAAAAGAAAGGAGGCCGGCGGCAATGGGAGAATCCCGTAAGCCAGAGGCCAGCAACACAATCTGAAGCGGAAGACTTTCCCTTGTAAAATAAACAGGGTGCGAGCCCCGGGATGAGCACTTTACCTGAACATGGTCGATCCACGAACCCGGAAAGGACTTTAGAAACGCGAAGCATGGCTACGTCTTCAGGACATCTGATTGGGCGACAAGCAACTGCAGGGCTGAAGATATTGGTCGTGATGGACCGTGCAAAACTGTGCAGTGCTGTGCCGTGCTCAAATGAGATGTGTCATGCCGCGATGAATTGCGCTGTTCTCTATAACGTTGTGGGCCAAGTCGCCCTTGGCACCCGAATCCTGACCGAACCGATCTAGATCTTAAGCCCCGGCTGCGTGAACGCATAACTGGCCCAGAATTGGTTGCAGTTGAAATGTGTGGGACGCTCAATCAGCTCGATCTCAAGAAGATCCGACTCAACTCCGGAGCGGGACGAGACGACACGGGGCGCAGGGCGCATGGACGTGCCACGGAATGTACTGGGGGCGCACTCGGGGATGCGCCAGAGGACGCGTCAGGGGACGCGGCAGGGGACGCGCCACGGAACGGGCATGGAAAGCGCCAGGGGCATCCTAGGGCGCTCAGGCCTCTCAAGCGCTTCGCAGCAAGCGCTTCGCGCGATTCTCATCCTCAGACGTTCGACGCGCAGGGCGCGATGCAGCCTCGAGCGGGCACGCAAGAAGAAGCCGGCGTCCCTGCTGCAGAACAGGCGCGCGGGGGGGCGCAGGACATCATCCTCTGGAACCCCGCGCGCAGGGCGTGCCATCCTCGAGCGGGCAGGAGAAAAAAACAAAACTGTCCTAAATATGCTCGAACATCAAAAACAAAACTGTCCTAAACATGTTCGAAAACCAAAAAAATAGCCGAACCGCGTTATTTCGTAGGCTTCCTGCGGCAAAACGCTCCGTACCTTTTTTTGAGCAGGGACCGACCGTCCAAGCATTCCTATAGTCCTGCCACGAAATGTTCTTAGAACCCAAAAGTGTTCTAAGAACACAAACAATGTTCTTAGAACATAAACCCCATGTGTTAAAACAAAACCCTCTCCGCCAGAACTGTTCTAAGAACATTTCGTGGAAACCGCAGAAGGTTCTTAGAACATTGTTTGGTAGGGCTATAGGCGAGCCAGGACGCTTCGCCACTGCTTGATTTCTGTTACAAAGAAAACGACTGTCTGCGGACCCCGTTAGGCAGCGAGGATCCGACACGGGGGTACGTTTTCCTCGAGCGGGCACTCGCGAAACACCTTTCTTTTCCCACGCCGAACAGGACTTTACCCAGCCTTGCATCGGACGGAAATTCGCTGGCCCACCTCAGCATGGGACCAGGGGATAGTTACACAACTAAAAGAGAACATCTTGGTACCCAGTCAGTTCATGGACAAGTTTTCAAACATAGGAGGAAATCCAAATCAACACACATGTTGGTGTAAGAGATGTTGGGGTACATGCCCAGTGCATGCTAAACTCCGCAAGGTGCCCCACAGCTCAAATGAGCCCAAATTCCCACGGGCATATATATATATATATATATATATATATATATATATATATTGTGCCACCTTGCCCCCAGAACGCCGCGCTGGAATGCACACTGGCTGCCATATGCGCAGGCCTCTGTAGGTTTGCAGGGGCTTCTACTCTCTGGCCCACGCCCATGCCGAAGAAGTGGGCGAACAAGTCAAGGAACAACGCTGGGGTAACAGCACAAACAAACAAAGAGACGCCAGAGATCTGGGCGCGCCGCTGCGACGAAGAAGCCGCTCGGCCAGCTGGCGGCGCCCTACCCTTCCGTGGGCCCCTCGGCCTCGGTGAGGCGCACGGCCGTGAACCCGGCCTGCACGTCGAGGTTGCAGCAGCCGCCCCCGCCGCCTGGCAAGAAGGGGGAAACTGGGAGGCCGACGCGCTCGGGCGTTGGAACCCCGAGAGCAATGTTTTGGCATGCTTCAGGGTCTTCAAACAGGTGTCTTCCAACGAGGCAGGTCCATCAGTGGAAAGGAACTGTCGTATGGGCATGTGCAGAGGGTACTTGGAGAGAGGGTTTACTCCAAGATCGTGGAGGACTCTTGGGTTTGCACTGGTCCGCCTCCTCCTCCTCCTCCTCCTCCTTCTTCTCCTCCTCCTCCTCCTGAGGAAAAAGAAAACTAGCGCCCGTGGTGTCTGGAGACGCCGTTTTTTTCCCATAGTTTCTAAGTGCTTCCCCACATGTTTCGTGGGGTTATGGTTTTCTTCCCTGCCGCGGCGCACCCGCGTCTCCTCATCGCCCCTCCTCCCTCTTCTTCCACTCCTCACCCGCGCTCAACACATGCACGGCAAGTACATGACACACGCGTCTACATTCAGCCGCACGCATGCACATATTCGCACACAACACACACACACACCATACAACGCTAGTGCGCGCCTGGCGTGTTCACTGCATCACACATCCACGACGTGTGCGCCACATAGTGGGCACCCACATGAGACACGTCCCGATATGGCCGCTATGCACGACGGTCGTCCAGGCATAGCAGGCGTGGCACTTCCTCGACGACAGAGGGGGTGCGCTGGGGGTGGGGGCCCTATCCGTTTCGGGCTCGCAATGCGTGGCAGGCGTGGCACTTCCTCGACACCAGAGGGGGTGCGCTGGGGGTGGGGGCCCTATGCGTTTCGGGCTCGCAAAACGTGCAGGCGTGGCATGTCTTCGACACCAGAAGGGGTGCGCTGGGGGTGGGGGCCCTATGCGTTTCGGGCTCACAAAGCGTGGCAGGCGTGGCACTTCCGGCAGAGCAAATGGGGTGCAGCTGGGGGTGGGGGCCCCTATGCTTTTTTCGTGGCTCGCAAGCGTGCAGGCGTGGCATGTCCTCGACCCCGAAGGGGTGCGCTGGGGGCGGGGGCCCTATGCGTTTTTCGGGCTCACAAAGCGTGGCAGGCGGGCACTTCCTCGACTCCACAGGGCTGCGCTGGGGTGGGGGCCCTATGCGTTGTAGGCTCCCAGGGCGTGGCAGGCGTGGCATTTCCTCGACGCCGCAGGGGGTGCGCTGGGGGTGGGGGCCCTATGCGTTGTAGGCTCCCAGGGCGTGGCAGGCGTGGCATTTCCTTCGACGCCACAGGGGGTGCGCTGGGGGTGGGGGCCCTATGCGTTGTAGGCTCCCAGGGCGTGGCAGGCGTGGCATTTCCTCGACGCCACAGGGGGTGCGCTGGGGGTGGGGGCCCTGTGCGCTGCAGGCGTTGTAGGCTCCCAGGGCGTGGCAGGCGTGGCATTTCCTCGACGCCACAGGGGTGCGCTGGGGGTGGGGGCCCTATGCGTTGCAGGCTCCCAGGGCGTGGCAGGCGTGGCATTTCCTCGACGCCACAGGGGGTGCGCTGGGGGTGGGGGCCCTATGCGCTGCAGGCTCCCAGGGCGTGGCAGGCGCGGCATGTCCTCGACGCCACAGGGGGTGCGCTGGGAGGTAGGAGGAGGTAGAGGAGGAGGAGGAGGAGGAGGAGGAGGAGGAGGAGAAGGAGGAGGAGGAGGACGGGGAGGTGGGGCAGCAGCAGCGGCAGCAGCAGCAGCAGCTGCAGCAGCAGACGCAGCAGCAGCAGCAGAAGCAGCAGCAGCAGAAGCAGCAGCAGGAGGAGGACACCGAGGAGGAGAAGGAGGAGCAGCAGCAGAAGCAGCGATGGTACACATGGGAAATAAAATAGGTCTGTGGGGTTCCTCGGTAGCGTAATTGTCTTCCCCCCCGCTTCCCATATTTTCCCATATTTTCCTGGGAGTCGACGATTAATTGTGTCTGTGTGTTTCTTTCCCTCTTGAGGCGTGCCTGAACCTCACTATGAATGCCCGGGGCCAGTGTCCCAACCGCGACCCTCCCCTGCCTCTCCTGCGAGCCCCGTCGACGCGGCTGCTCGCTTCCGCCGCACATCGCGTTACGAAGCATTGTCGGCCGGAAGCTCTCTCTCCAGGCGCGCCACCTCGCTTCTGGTGATCTTCGCGCTGTCAGCGCTGTTTTGACTTTGGCTGCAATGCAACTGACTCCAAGCGTGGCGGCTGGCACCAGTCAGCAGGTGGGGTTAAGTCGGACATGTCCCCCTACATGGGAATTTTGGACGAAAAAATAAAAATACCCAAACAAATACGCCAAACATGGTCCAAAATCGTTGAAAAATCGCCCCCAGGCTATATTCTACATATTTTTGAATATTCCTCCTGTAGAGGGACAGGCCCGGCTTACAGGTGGGGTTGGAAGCGAAATCGGCGCGAAATTCGCTTCGGGCGTGCTGGCTCGCCTCCGATGCGCTGCCAGCTTCCAAGCCAGGAAGCTCACTCGCCTCCTCCTCCTCCTCCTCCTCTCCTCCTCCTCCTCCTCCTCCCCTCCTCCTCCCTCCTCCTCCTCCTCCTCCTCCCTCCTCCCTCCTCCCTCCTCCCTCCTCCTCACCTCCTCCTCCCCAACCTCCCTCCTCCTCCTCCTCC